TATTTATTTTATTTATATTAAAAACTAGAAATAGTGTACTTTCTGTAATTAACAAAATAATTAACTAATTGTCTCCGTTGAATGATAATTAATTAATTGTAGCCCTTAAATGATAAGGAATTTATAACACGACCATATTAAAGGGGTATCTAATAATACAAATACAAGAACGGCTTAAAAAATTGATAAAATTAAAATTAAAATTAAAATCGACAATTAATTTTAATCACATATATATTGAAATCTACAAATTTTATTAATTTTTTAACCGCACATTTCGCCAACATTTATCCAAATTCACTAAAAATTTGATTTTTATAGAAACCAAACAGGGGCTAAATAAATTGCTCTATGTGACAGCTATATTTGAATTCTACATCGTCCAGTGCATCAGATAGATTTATGAACACATTAGGCAACTTCTCCTTAAAAATAATTTTAAAAGTAAATTTTATACAAAATTTTAGCAACAATGGAATTAAAGCACAACGAGGTGGCTCGTAGAGGATTACTCCAAATAGAACACCGAGGTTCCACAACTATCCAACCGAACAAAAAATTTAGTTGTCGTGGATTCTCGCCTACCCCGCTTGGGCTCTAGCTCGAATCAAATTATGCTTTGGGAGACTTTCCACTCATCTAATAATCTATCTATCGGACGCCATTAAAAGGAAAAGTTTTCGCACTTTAACACTAATTGTAGAAGGTATATTTTGTAGATCTATAAACACGTATAATACCTTCTAATGGCTCATTTGACATGACTATTTTTTTTTATTCATAGAGGAGCTTCCTAAGAAAGTTACCTTAATTTTTGCTTGAAATTTAATTTATAAAAGAACAACCTATTCCGGATCTGCTTTTTAGAGGAAACAATATTAGACCAATTTATTTTAAAAGTTTTTCTAACTAGAAGAAACACTTTCATAAAATTAGTCGAACAAGTCGAAAAGCAACTTTTGAATTTCAAAACCTCCGTTAATTTCTCAAAAGTCGTACTAAATAGGCCCTAAATCGATTTTAAAAGCGGGTTTTGCCAAATCCCAAATAGTCATAATGTATATCTTGAATGGGCGGTGTTGCAAAATCAATAAAGTTTCTATATATTGTTAGGTTTCCTGAAAAAAACAAAGACTGTTAATGTCATAGCTTCATTTCTTGTCCTTCAAACAGAATTCAATTGGTCTCATACAATCCAAACCTAGACATATACGTGCATAACTGGGGTGGGGGTGGGGGTGGGGGTGGGACATGCAAATATTATCACCGGTGTAGTGATTTATGGTGAGCGAGAATAAGTCAAATTAGAGGTCATTGCCAGTCAGTTTGAGGCAGGCCCTCCTTCTCAGTACTGGCAGTGGCAGATGAGGGATGAGTAAATCGTGTGGATTTCGTGGAAAAAAGTTTCAAAACTTTTTTCTGCTAAAACTATCTGTCCATCAAATCTTTTTTCTCTTTAAGCCCTGCCTGCATACTCGTTTTTCTTGCATTGCATTATTCGAACCTTTTCTCACCACATTACAGCATATAAATCCATGCAACCACAAAATGATAGCATCACAATGGAGTCTTTACCAGAGAATTCAAATGAGAAATCAGATTTCCAAGAGAGTGAAAAGGCGAGAAGACAGTCGAAAGTTTGTACCAGAGGCCACTGGAGACCTTCGGAGGACGAAAAACTTAAACAACTTGTTGACCATTACGGCCCACAGAACTGGAACGCCATAGCTGAAAATCTTGAAGGAAGATCAGGTAGTATATTTTGACTAAGCTTTTGGTTTCATCTTTAGGGCTCGATTTTTAATTTTTTGATTTTTTTTTCTGGGTTTTTAAGGTAAGAGTTGTAGATTGAGATGGTATAACCAGTTGGACCCGAAGATCAATAAAAGAGCTTTCAGTGTAGAAGAAGAGGAAAGGCTAATGGCAGTTCATAGGGTTTTTGGCAACAAATGGGCGATGATTGCTAAATATTTCCCTGGGAGAACAGATAATTCAGTGAAAAATCACTGGCATGTTTTAATGGCTAGGAAATACAGAGATCAATCAAAATCCTACAGAAAAATATCAAAATGTAGCGAGGATACAGCAAATGGAAATGCATTTACCAATTCCTGCCTTCTTCATTCAGGTCATGATTCCGATCCGACTCGACCAAATTCTTTTTCGGGTTAGTCAGTATAAGATCTAATACTGCATACCGACCGAGCATGCACTGATTATGTTGTTTATTTGCAGGCAGTAAAAAAGTGAATATTATGGCAAGAAATGGCTCAATTTTCAGTAATTTCAATCCCTTTCATCCGTACTCTCCATTGCTGATGAAAATGAAGGATGATTTTCCTCAAGTTTCATGCACTGAACCATCTCCATCTTCATTACCATCAGTTGCTGAGTACACAGACACGAGCCATTTAAGTACTAAGACAACACCTCCGTTTATAGATTTCCTCGGAGTTGGAGCCATATGAAAGATATGCATTTGTCCTTAGTTTTATCAAAAAAAATTATGAATGTCATTGTGACCATGCTTACAACAAATTAATCACTGACAACATCGAACTTATGAATTTCTCGTTCTTCAAGTCTCAAGTTTTATGTATGTTGTTAGTCAATCAATTCACAGTATTTGTGTACGGCCCTCAAATATATATATATGAAATAGATACGTATATGCACATGTTGGATACACAGTACTATCGTAAGATTGGAACAAACATTATAACAGATAAGATGTAGTTTCCTTTTCCTCCTACGGTTGTTCTTTTTTATTAGAACTTTATTTGGGTTCAAATCTACCTATATATGTACAAGGCTTTACTCGTTTGAAACTCGTTCATATTAAGTGGCTTGCACGAGAAAATAGATGTTCGGCTCGCCCCACTTTATATCACTAGTTCAATATGTGACCCGTTCTCGAGTATATGGATTACATTGAAATTTTTATTTTTTTCATTATTCGAAATTGTCCGAGTTTGCTTTAAGAGTTGTGTATTTTGTTTAGGGGCCCTTGTTACCTGCATTCCCTCGGCAGGATTAGCTGAGACACTGTACAACTCACGTGAGGGTGGTTCGAATTTACTGACATTCTTGGCTAAACTTTGTTAAGTTTGTTGGAATGGAGACAAAACTGCATTCTCGTGAAATTCATTTTCTATAGTAAATGGTAAAAAAATTTGCTTTTTAATTGGAACTCTCAAAAATTCATCCTCTAATATTTTGAATGTTTGAATTTAGTGTCATCTTAGTTTGATAATCAAATTCTTCTTTAGGAAGTGATTATAATTTAATTATTTCTCTTCAAATGTCCATTTTATCCACATTTTTCCTAAGATTCACAATTACTGTTCACTTATATTATTCGCACACTTCATAAGATCTGTAATTCATAATTACTTAAGATTTAATTCAATCACTTAACGAACATACACTTAAGTTGATCAAACATATTTATTAATCTACTCATTATGTGGGATGCACATACTAAATAAATCCATTTTTTCAAAGATGATTTGTTTGTTAATATATTTTAAATTATTTCAAGTGAAACTCATTTGTTCTTGAAAAAAATTTCGTATTTGGATTGTAATTATTTCTTCTTCTTCTTTTTTTTCTATTTGTTTATTAAAGATGAGTGTAGATTGATCATTTTACAATACTTCAATGAAGAAAATAGACGACGACGACAAGTTAAGTGTATGTTCGTGAAAATATTAAAATGAGGGTGCAAATGTCAAGTTTGAGACGATATGAACGATTTCCACAATGAGTGTAAACGATGGAGACTTTTTGTGCAAATTACCCGATTTGTTATGTTGTCTGGCTAGATTTTCTTTAAATGTTTTCTTTTAATTCTTTTGATTGATATAAGCAATATTATCCCCACCTTTGAATAAAATGTAAATACGGCGTTAATATATATACTTTTATATCCCATTCCATCGAGTTGCTCGAAAATCCCGAACAGAGTAGAATACGGGGAGGACTTGACCCGTTGCCAACTTTAAGTTGATTCACTTGAATTTTTAAGGATTGAATAAAGAGAGCCGTTATTTTCATACACTGTTCTTATATATCCATGCCAATAACCGGTTGCACGAAGAAGATTGCAAGATGTCGGTCAAGCTTCAAGTCAAAAGTTGGTGGCTGACAAAATGAGTTTTGGTAACTTTCGAAGATGTTGATCATAAATTTTATTGTAGCTAAGATTTTAAATATAAATGTCGCCCCTTTATGAACAATTTGCAACGTGCTTGTTTTGTGAATATGTGAGCGCACCTCTATTCCCATCATTATTGACATAGATTTTACCATTCAAACTATGAAATGGATTTAAAGCATTTGAAAGCCACATTGACTCTGCAGAGCCATTACATTTTTGCAGTTATAGTTGGACTATTATTGTTTGTACATCTCTTAGCAATTGAAGTTCCAGCCTAGTTTGACAACTTTTATTTTTCAGACTTGTTTTCTATACACTCATTTTCAACCATACATTCACATAATAAAAACACATAAATCTAAAATTTTTCTTGCTATTTAACATGTCAAACTTTTCTCTAAGAGTTATGCTCCTCTTACAGGCCTGGCAGAGCCGAGCCTCTCACATGATGCGGGTCCCGTGCGGGACCAACGTTATTAAAAAATACCCACCCCACCCCTGAAAAATAGGTGTCATTTTAAAGTAAAATGATGTGCCGATAATTAATTGGTGGACAATAAAAACACAACAACAAATCTCAACTCTTATACGAGACCAATTCGTTTTTTCCTCATTATTTATTGTGACTTTAGTTGAAGAAAATGTTTTATAAATATTAGGATTTTAGTTAAATGTGAAGTTAAAAAAAAATGTATAAAAAATCAAAAAGTATATAACGATGATAAATATTAGTAGAATTTAAAATGATATGTCTTATTTGATTTTGTTCTTGTCTATTTTAAATTTACATAAAAGTTAAATGTAATAATATAGAAAATAAAATTAATAAATTGCACCAATTCATATGCCCACTTCTCCAATTCATTCATTTCCAGCTTCCGGCGCCCAGTATAGGATATATTAATTTAAATGTAACAGTGGAGGATCCGTTAGAAACAGTTGCACCCTGCAAATGGTCAGCCAAATACAGCGGCCATTGTTTGTACCAAATCTTAATGAAATAAGAAAGTTCTTGAAAGTGTCAGCCGACTCTAAAAATCTCACAATCGGAAAAACCATTCATGCCCATTTGATTGTATCCAATCAAGATTCACGCGATCACGTAATCGAGAGAAATTCTTTGATAAATCTATACTCAAAGTGTGGTGAAATTTCTATTGCTCGCCAATTGTTTGATAGAATGCGCAAAAGGAATGTTGTGTCGTGGGGAAGTTTAATGGCTGGGTATTTACATCATGGTTTGGCCTCTGAAGTTATTGGGTTGTGCAGGAATATGGTAAAAGTAGACAAGTTATGCTTGAATAAGTACATATTAGCGACGGTTATTTCGTGCTGTTCTCATTGTGTGTTGCTAGATGAGGGCCAACAGTGTCATGGTTACGCGTTGAAGTCTGGATTGATTTTTCATCAGTATGTAAAGAATGCCCTTGTGTCCATGTATTCAATGTGCTCGGATGTGAAAGGGGCTATGCAGGTATTTTATTGGGCCCCTAGGTCAGATTTGTGTACCTATAATTCTGTTTTAAGCGTGCTGTTAGATCATGGATATATGAGGGAAGCATTTGAGGTTTTGTGCAGATTGGTGGCAGAATACGAGCGTTTAGAATGGGATAATATTACTTATGTTAATATTTTTGGACTTTGCGCTCGCATTGGTGACTTGACTTTGGGCCAACAAACTCACAGCACAATGCTCAAAACTGGTGTTGAGCTCGATCTGTTTGTTGGTAGCGCAGTCATAGACATGTATGGAAAATGTGGTGAAATTTCATCCATGCGAAAAAAATTTGAGGGCTTGCAAACTAAAAATGTGGTCACGTGGACAGCAATATTGGCTGCTTATTTACAGAATGAGTGCTTTGAAGAAGTATTGAAACTGTTTCTGGAAATGGAACTTGAGCATATTTTGCCAAATGAGTACACATTTGCAGTGCTTTTGTACTCGTGCGCTGGTTTGTCAGCTCTTGGTTTTGGTAATTCACTACATGCACGCATCATGAAGATGGGGATGAAGAATCACACTATTGTGAGTAATGTTTTGATCCATATGTATTCTAGGTGTGGCCTGATTGAAGATGCTTGTATTGTCTTCACAAATATGACTTATCGAGATGTTATATCTTGGAATTCTATGATAACTGGTTATTCTCATCATGGGCTTGGTAGGGAAACCTTGTCTGTGTTTCAAGAGATGCTAGCAGCGAAAGAGCAACCAAACTATGTAACTTTTGTTGGGGCACTCTCTGCCTGTGCCTTCTTGGGAAGAGTAAACGAAGGTTTCTACTATTTGAACCATATGATGAGAGAGCTTGGCATTGAACCAGGGTTGGAGCATTACACCTGTATTGTTGGACTTCTGGGTAGAGCAGGGAGGCTTGAGGATGCTGAGAATTTCATGCTATCAACTCCAATAAAATGGGACATTGTTGCCTGGAGAACTTTGCTCAATGCTTGTTATGTCCATCAGAATTATCATTTAGGAAAGCGAGTTGCAGAAACTGTGTTGCATCTGAACCCTGAAGATGTGGGAACTTGTATCCTGTTGTCAAATATGCATGCCAGGGCAAAGAGGTGGGATGGAGTTGTGGCGACGCGGAAGTTAATGAGAGAAAGGAACATAAAGAAAGAGCCTGGATTGAGCTGGACAGAAATAAGAAATGACACACGTGTATTTGTTTCTGATGACAACAAACATCCAGATGCTGTTCTTATCCGTGAAAAAATAAAGGAGCTTTTGACTGAAATTAAACCACTGGGTTATGTTCCAGCTATAGCTTGTGAATTGCATGATGTGGAGGAGGAACAGAAAGAAGGTTACCTCAGTTATCACAGTGAGAAGTTGGCTATAGCATACGCTCTTATGAAAACACCACCAGGGGCACCTATTCGCATCATTAAAAACCTAAGGATGTGTGATGATTGCCATTCTGCCGTTAAATTTATCTCAAAGGTCACAAACAGATTGATAATTGTAAGAGATGTGAACCGTTTTCATAGTTTCAGGGAGGGATGTTGTTCCTGTGCAGACTACTGGTGACATATAGACCCAGCTTGGGGAAAAATATTTCATTATATATCAGGGACGCCACTTAAACCAGCCAGCTCCCAGTGGAGGGGATTGCATATAGCTAATCTAGGTAATTTATACTGCCAGGCATTTGTAAATTGGTCGCAAGCGCTTTGCGGCAATGATCAATTCATGAATCTTTATCCTTCCATATCCTCATCCTCACATAAGGCAACTTATAAGTTAAGAGAAGCAATGATCCGCCAATTGAATTACAAATCCAATGATCTAGTACCTTGGTTGGATCGACGGCTAAAGCAATTCTGATAACTATTTTGAGGGTCAACCATCCAATCCAAGAAATGACATAAGAATTCCTAGTTAACATTCTAAGTTAGGAACCATCCAACCAAGACTTGGCCTAAAAAACTAATAGAGCAAAAAAATGTTTAACTATTGAAGGCTAATCAACATGAGCAAGAGTGAGTCAACAGTTAAATTCTGTGAGATACATGACTTTTAACATTAGATTCGCTTTTAGTTCTTACCGTACTAACTTCTTTCATTAGGTTTTAATGTTTGCTAATTTTAATGAGTCTGCCTCATCTGGCAAATTACTAATTCTATGAATTGTATGTTAGCTCAATGACTTGCAAAATTGATGCTCACTGAAATCTAAAATGAAATAACTGCATTAATACATGCTGTCAGACCTAAAATGGAATAATTGAAATTTTATAGATGCTGTCAAAATTTTGTTTTAAAATAGTAAACCATGTAATCCGAAATATTGCATTAAAATCAGAAATTTTGAGGCCTGGTTTCCATGATTTTTTGCTTTCTTTATTGTGCTTTACTGCTATGGAACAAAGAGGTGTAAAGAGGAATGCTCATATTATTCATTCACATTTTCGTTGGGTTTTTTCCAGGTTTTTTTTTTTTTCAAAATGATTGTGAACTGTGGACGGAGGTAACTGACAAGCAGTTGAATGGGAATAATGCTCAAAGTATTTGAGGAGAATTCCAAGATGGAACTTATGGCTTCGACATAAACCGCAATCAGTGCAAGCACAAGGCATTACTTTGGGTTTGACTCAATTTGTAAAAATATTATATACCTTTTGTTGGACGACGAGTTTGCAGACAATACCTTTCATTGGCTGATGTTTTATGGACAAGCATTAAGATTTCAAGGTTTGGTAAACTGTAAAGGACCTCTCAGTTCTCTCTATACAGCATTTGCTGCATAATTTTCTTGGATCACTTTTTAAAATTGAAATCGACCGTTAGAAGGTCAGCCATAGACATTCAGTGTTCTACCTTTGTAACCCTGAAGACGAGCCAAGGTGAACATATTGGGAGATTTTAAAGCATCACCTGATGGGATGTCACGTGGTATCGCCAGCATACTAGATAGTTAAGATGTTTGTGTACAAGTTCAGCATCAGTTCCTTTGCCAGAATGTATATTCTCTTTCCTATGACAATAGGTATATCACCTGATGGATATTTTTCTAATCATGGAACAGATGGAAGAACTATTCAGCATTTATTCGTTCTCTGGTCAGGAGGGATCAAAATTTAATGAAGTTGCAGCTACAGGTTAGTATTTTAATGAAATCTCTTCTTCAAATATTGATAAATGATGAATATGACAGTTTGAGGAATACGATAGCATTTATGAGAGGAACAAAGAGGGGGAAAGCCATTAGTTATATTAACTTTTGATAATAATCATGATAATAGATGTTATACTGGATTAAGTGGAAGAGCATAACAATATGTCTGTGAAAAGAATGTGTTGAATTTGAAAAATGAGAAAACGACAAGAGACGAAATAAAAGGAAAAAGAAGAAATGTTGAACTTTGAAGTCTGTTATGAGTTTCAAGTAAAATAAAACAATAATGCATTAAAAGCTACACTCAATTAATTTTACAAATTCATTAAAATTTATTCTCCCATCTCCATCTGCATCAAACGCCCTAATCATTCTCCTGCAGTTCTCTATCTCTGATCCTTCCTTTAAGCACAGAGAACATAGAACAGTTTGCAACTCTCTTGCATCAATAAATCCATCTTTGTTCTGGTCAAACACATCAAAAGCTAATTTCACTTCATCCAAACAAGGATTATTCTCCACAAACATGTCGTAAAGGTCGTTAGCATCCAATTTTTCTGGAAGCTTCCCTTCTTCAGGACTGCAAAAAATCCCCATACTTCTTAGAACTATTTCCATATCTCCTTTACACACACTTCCACCAACCATCTTCTCTTTGAAGGACGGTTTCTTCTTGGATAACTCAAAATCTTCATTCATTCCAGCCTGATCTTTGGAATCACTGAACCTAATCGATGGGGATTGGATTGAAAATTTACATTCTGATAAAAAACTGCAGATTTTCTTCCTATTCAGGATTACGTGGAGCAAGAGGAAATCGACCAATCCAAGAATCAGACCAATACATTGAATTGTATTCATCGATGTGTTCTCTAGGGGTAATTGATTCATATAAATGAGAGACATGGCTAATGATTTTCTCTCAATGAAAAAAGGATTAGGATGTTTAAAAATATATATCTTAAATGCAGATGGAGACCAAATTGCTGGAAATGTTATGATGAAATTGAAGATGAGAAGGGGTTATATAAATCATCAGGGAAACTGGAAAGTCTTTGGAAATTGATGGCTTTCAAATTTGAGGAAGGTGCTTGCGAGGTGCAGTCTTAAGTCTTTTAGAGAAGGTGTCAAAAACATGAAGAAATTGTCAGTGTACAAGGAAGTTTCTTTGTTGCTTGGCTTTGCAGAAGTAGATGTGGTAGGGCCAGTTGGCCTGATTTTCTTTATGATATTTTATGTGGAATTTATTAAGAAATTGCGCCCCCACTTCTGGACTAGTTGACTTGTGCAAATTGCTTTGGTATTTCCTTGGAATTGAAACTTATTTAAAGGTTATTTACCCAATGAACATGAATTAGAAAGATGTGACTGAGAAATTCTCCTTAGCAGCCTTTCGTTGTCGGCTTGAGTATTGTTCCATGCAAAAGCCCTTTTCACATACATTGGACGGGTTGGGCCGATTGTGGGCCCATCTACTGCAGCCGAGTTTGTGCTGATCGGTCCGGCCCAA